TCTGGCAATTCATGCTGACAATTGAAGTTCTGAATTAAGACCTTCAGAAAATTAAAATCTACGGACACTGGGACTTTCATACTTCAAAAATTCAGGTTGAATTAGAATCTTCAGTAAATTAAAAAATGAGTTGGAATCATCAAAAAATTTAAATCGCTTTAAATGTTTGAAGGCCGAAAATTTTTGACTGACATGTGCAGTTCGAAAAGAGGTCAACTATTCAATTTATCGTGGTGGTCGGATTTTTTTTTATGTGCCAGCAAAGAATCGATGCATTTTGCTTGTATGAAAAATTTAGAATGAAAAAGAAATTTCCAAAAAATCAGAAATCAGGTCACGCTTCCTTTCAAATTTCACTCGTTCTGTGAGAAGACGGAGGTTCTCAGAAGTGGTGGCACACACTAGCAAAGTCAACCGCTGGGTGCGAGGCGTTTACAGACCATTTCATCTTTTGGAGAGTCGCTTAGAATCAAGCTGATGACGGTTTTGACTCTTTGGCATGCGCCGGCATGTATTTACCAGCAGAAAATGATTGCGAAAGCAGAACTGATCTTGTTTTTGAGAAATGACAGCCAAAGATTTCTGCCTGGGAGCAGAGTTACTTGCCATTTCGCGACTTATGTCGAAATTTTATCTTTTAATTTTTTTTAAACATTTTTCCCCGCAAAAAAAAACTTCACAGGCAAAACAAAGGCCGGCAAAAGAGCAATCACACTGGCAATATTTCTTAATTGGAATAAAAAAGCTTATTTTTAATTAATTGATGCTCTGGAAAAAACAGGCTAGATCAGGAAAATTTGAAGGATTCACTCCAAATAACCTTAATTTTAACCAAATTATGCGAACACTAGAAATAATGATGGATTGGAAGAATTTATCGGACCTTATAGACTGGCAGCAAGAAATATTGATTTACCACACGACCACTTTTATCACTTTAAAGTCATCCTTAATTACTGAATTACTCCTAGTCGTCAAAACCATCCAGAAAATAAACACACAACTTTTAGAGTTAACTAAAAGTGTACCGAGTATAGCTATACCACGCGACTTATCCAGGGCTATTGCCTTCGGCACGTTTTTCCTAACTCCTAATTCCTTAGAAAGTACTGAGACGAGTCAATTTCCTTTTAGTCGGCACCAAATGAGGGAGCGATACTGCTGGAAGTTA